TGACTTTCTCCAGTGTGCTAAGCTTTTTAATCATAGAATCATTTAGTTTGGAAAAGACCTTTAAAATCATTGAGTCCAACCATTAACCCAGCACTAAACCACGTGCCAAAGTACCACATCTACATGTCTTTTAAATACCTTCAGAGAGTCTACCACTTCCCGGGGCAGCCTGTTCCAACACCTGACAACCTTTTCAGTGAAGAACTTTTTTCATAATATCCAAGGCAAGCCTCCCCTTAGGCAACTTGAGGCTGTTTTTTCTTGTCCTATCACTTGTTACTTGGGAGAAGAGACTGACCCTCACCTCGCTACAAACTCCTTTCAGGGAGCTGTAGAGAGCGATAAGGTTTCCCCTGAGCCTCCTTTTCTCCAGGCTAAACAACCCCAGTTCCCTCAGCTGTTCCTCACAAGACTTGTGCTCCAGACCCTTCACCAGCTTCGTTGCCCTTCTCTGGACACGCTCCAGCACCTCCATGTCTTTATTGCAGTGAGGGGCCCAAAGCTGAACCCAGTGTTTGAGGTGCAGCCTCATCAAGGTCGAGTACAGGGGGACAATCATTTCCCTGGTCCTGCTGATCACACTACTGCTGACACAAGCCAGGATGCTGTTGGCCTTCTTGGCCACCTGGGCACACTGCTGGATCATATTCATCTGGCTGTAGACCAACACCCCCAGGTCCTTTCTCACCAGGCAGCTTTCCAGCCACTCTTCCCCAAGCCCATAGCATTGTGTGGGGTTGTTGTGCCCCAAGTGCAGGACCCGTCACTCAGCCTTGTTGAACCTCATACAAACCTTGGCCCATCGATCCAGCCTGTCCAGCTCCCTCTGTAGAGCCTTCCTACCCTCCAGCAGATCAACACTCCCACCCAACTTGGTGTCATCTGCAAACTTACTGAGGGTGCGCTCAATCCCCTCGCCCAGATCATTGATAAAGACATTAAACAGAACTGGCCCCAGTACTGAGCCCTAGGGAACACCACTTGTGACCAGCCACCAACTGGATTTAACTCCATTCACCACCACTCTTTGGGCCCAGCCATCCAGCCAGTTTTTTACCCAGTGAAGACTATGCCCATCCAAGCCATGAGCAGCCGGTTTCTCCAGGAGAATTCTGTGAAAAATAGTATCAAAGGCTTTACTAAAGTCTAGGCAGACAACATCCACAGCCTTTCCCTCATCCACTGAGCAGGTCATTTTGTCATAGAAGGAGATCAGGTTAGTCAAGCAGGATCTGCCTTTCCTAAACCCACGCCGACTGGGCCTGATCGCCTGGCTGTCCTGTACACGCCACGTGATGGCACTCAGGATGATCTGCTCCATAATCTTCCCCAGCACCAAGGTCAGACTGACAGGCCTGTAGCTCCCTGGATCCTCCTTCTGGCCCTTCTTGTAGATGGGTGTCACGACTGCTAACCTCCAGTCAAACGAGACCTCCCTGGTTGGACATGACTGATGATAAATGATGGAATGTGGCTTGGTGAGCACTTCCACCAGCTCCTGCAGTACCCGGGGGGGGATCCCATCTGGCCCCATAGACTTATGTGTGTCTAAGTGCTGTAGCAGGTCGCTAACCATTTCCCCTTGGATTATGGGGGCTTCCTTCTGCTCCCTGTCCCTGTCTTCCAGATCAGGGGGCTGGGTACCCCAAGGCAAATTGGACTTAGTATTGTAGACTGAGTCAAAGAAGGCATTAATACCTCAGCCTTTTCCTCATCCTTTATCACTATGATTCGCCCCACATCCAATAAAGGATGGAGATTCTCCTTAGCTCTCCTTTTGTTGCTAATGTATTTATAGAAACATTTTTTATTGTCTTTTACGTCAGTAACCAGATTAAGTTCTATCTGGGCTTTGGCTCTTCTAGTTTTCTCCCTCAAGACATCCTTGGAGTCCTTCTGAGTTGCCTGCCCCTTCTTCCAAAGGTCATAAATGTTGAAATAAAGGTACCAAAGGTCTATTGATTCAGGTGGAGCTGATCTGAGAGCAATCATTGAAGTCTATCTCTACCTGCCTTGGCCACAGTCCAGGGCCAGCCTTGATCACACACAATCCAGTGCTAAGGGTGAAAAAGCACTTTTCAGAGACAACAAAGCAAAGCTGCTGTGCGATGAGGGCTCTAATGAGGTGTGTGCCATTGCTAACATCATGCTGTGCCCCATCTTGTGCCATGGCCACCAGAGGTGCAGGAGACCAGCCCAGCTCATGCAGGCAGCCACAGGCAGGGGACAAAGAAGCACAGCACTTCTTCAAGGCACCAACTTCTTCAAAGATCTTTCTAGAAACTGCCTACTACAGATGTCTCTGCAGGCAAAGATATTTACAATATTAAATATTAAAAAAATATTCACAATATTTATTGTTCACCTGAAAACAGGAGCAGAAGCCTTGCATTTGACTGTGATGAGGTTTGGCTACTGGAACCCGCAGCTGGATAGTCAAGACTGATGTTGTATCGGTTTATATAGTGGTTTGTTCTCCTCAGAGCCCAGTGATGACCAGAGGTTGTGTGCAACCGTTACCTGAAGAGGAAAATCAAACTAGGTCACCTCTGCAGCCCCTATGGTGCTGACCCACCTGAGCTGCGGATGCCCTGAGGAGGAGTCGGGGCTGTTGCAGCCCGGAGAAGGAGGACTGCAGCCAGGCATTCTTGGAGTGACAGACCTCTTGCCATCCTGCAACCGCCGAGATGTTTGTGCCACACAGCACTCCAGGAAGGCACTGTTAGTCCTGGTGATGTTCACTTGTTGTGGCTGCTAGTTGTCCTTTTTTTCCTGCAAAAATGCAAGCAGAAAAATTGGCACCTTTTTTTGATATGAAGCATAGTTATGCTGTTACCTAATAAAGTTATACTGACTTCATTTGACCTTATTCATTGACAAAGAAAAAACAAAAAACCCCTCAAAACTAGACATGGGAATTTTAAGTTGTTTTCCAGAACTGCTTTTGGCTGACGCTGAAGTGCTAGGTTAGGCTGTAGCAGCAATTATACCATCACAGTAATAGTATAATAAGGATTTGTATGAAGTTTACAGAGGCGCCTAGCTTAAGCAGTAAGTCATAGACATAAGCTGTTATGCAGGGCTGATCTCACAGCAGATCTGGACCACAAATAAGATTTTACTGGATTTTTCCAGAACACAGGTATATGACGGTCCTGTGTTCTTTCAGGAGAAACACATGTATGAACAACAAATTGCTTGGAAAAATTATATTTTACAGATGATGTTCTTCAAGACAACAAAACTTTGAGTCCAAATGCAGACACACTTTCAGGAATCAAGACAGTAATATCACAATAGAAAAATTCTGCCTGATTTCATAATTACATAATTTATATTGAAAGTCAGCCATAATTGAAAATATAACAAATAGATTGTTTTTTCAACAAAAAGGACCTCCCTAAAGAACTGGTCACAAAATATTCAGACATTATGTATAAGGATCCATATGCAATCAGAAGAATAATTTCTCTCTTTTAGTCATGCATGATTGCCTAGGTATTTTTAGCTGTATAAAACCTTCTCCATCTGAAACATTTCATTATGCCGCGAAACTTCTATGCAAAATTTAATCTCCTTCTTAGAAAATTGGAATTTATAGAAAACAAATTTTAAAAGAAGTCTTAGCAGAGTACAACAGTAGTACTTGCATTCAAGTATTTTGCCTGCTAGTACAGACTGCAATGGAAATAGGAAACATTACAGGGCAGTTTCCAAAGTGCCCACCTTGCCTGAAGGGTAAATTGAAATACATACATTGCATTTCACTGAGATTTATTGAAGTACCTTTCAGAGGTGTGCAGATGGACTCCGATACTGGCTATCACACAGCACACATTGTGTGATGCATTCACAACTGTCCTATAGAAAGGAAGGACTCTTGATCTTAATTTACATCTGAGAAAGAGGGAGACAAACTCATGTTTGATGTGAAGCAGGAACTGGCCATTTGGGTTCCTCACAACCCAGTTTGCATTTTTCACTAACAGAGTCGAGATGTCCAATTTGAGAGGAGGAAGGTGATAATTCAAGTACTAAGATTTGAGAGCCTAATATTGCAGGTCACAACTAATTTGAGGGTTGTTATTGAGCTGCAAACTTTCCCTGGTCTTCTGGCTTCCTTCTGGCTCTTCTCATGAGGTGAGCCTTCACCACAGAAAGCCTTTCATGCCTGGATTTTAGTCTTGAATTGTCAATGAAATTGTCAATGCAAGTAAATTACTCAATCCATCAAATTACTCAACCAATGTGATCAGCTGCAGGTGTTTACCAAGGCTTACATGATCTGGTATGGAATTAGTTTTTACACTTTATGTTTCAAAAGAAACCTAGCAATACTGAAAATAGCAACTGCCAGGGGCCTGACAGCGATAATAAATGGTACATGAGAAACATCAGTTGGAGCAGGAGCTGAATTCATGTTCTCCTGGATGACAAGGGTCCATTTCTTGGAAAGATGAGAGGACCTGATTACATTTGATCCCTCACTTTGTTACCTCCAAACATAAAAAATAAAATTAAAAAAAAAGGTATTCTAGATCAAATTGAAAGATTAATCAATTTTTTGCACTCTGATACATCCAGGTTCAGGTTTATATTAGTAGTGCTTGTTTATAGAACTTAAACTGCACCTTAAACATTTCCCTTTTACCATTAAGAAAACAAACAATGAACAAAAAGCTTAGAGATTGAAAATTTGTCAGGGAAGCTTTCAGACTGGCTTTTTGGACACGACAGCTGCAAGCGGCAGGCAGTTTGGGAAGAGGTGAGTGCCACAGAGCTGCCTGTGCTCTCTCTCATCAGACTCCCCACAGAACTGTTGCAGTAGCATTTTTGTTATATGCAGATGAAGACAGCTGATGTGAAGTGAGATTAACGGACATGAGTCAGTAAATGCATTCCTAGTATTTATTGTAGAGCTGCTGGTAATCCAGCAGCAGCATACTTTCTTTCAGAATTAAATTGGCATTTAAAGATGCTATCTGTCAAAGGAGACCATTTTATTTAAAATCATGTGAATTCATATTCTCAGCACCAGCTTCCTGAAGCTGTATTGGGCCAGCAACAGCAGTCACACTTTCTTGGCCAGAGCTTGCTTCTCTCTTGGACCTAGTAACACAACCTTGGTAGCATCTGGAAGAATAGTCATAGACCCTGCACACCACTAGTTCACACTGCAGGTAAACCAACGGATTCTTATGAATAAACTGGAAGACGTTGAATTTAAACCGGACCACATGTCTGTAGGGTGAATAATAGGTAGCATAGGTAGAATCTCGAACACACCTAAAAAGAAACAAAAGAGTTCTCATGAATACACACTGCAATCAGTCATTTACATGCAATATAACACATAACATGACAAGCGGTTTTTAAACATGATGGAGATGGTTCAGAAACTTGCAATAAGGAAAAGCAGCACTGAGCCATGTTATCTCCCCTCAGCCTGTCGTGTGTCTATATACCTAGTGTTTGTATGTGCTTCTGAAGGTGAATTATCCTTTCCTGAGATATGTCACTGTTACGTCTTCAGTAATAACAATCCACGGTGAACTGGCCATTCAGTCTATGTGTCATTTTAAGCTCTGTGTGTGTGTGTATCTTATATTTTGGGTCAATCCATCCCCTTTCCCCCAGTAAACCCCAAATTCCCATGTTCATTAATTAATTAGAAGCTGACGTTAATGGCTGCTGTATTTACAGTACTCCATTTAAAAAAAAAAAAAAAAAAAAGAAGATCTACAGGAGTGTAGAGGCAGTTATCTTTGTAATTGTAATGCAAAAGATCTTACCCGTTCCTGATTATATCGTAGGTTACGGTAGTAAAATTGTGGGGAGTGGGAGATGCCACACATGTGTCCACAAATAGCACCAGGTTTGGATCAGAGCTGTGCAAGTAAGCTTCAAGGAACAAATTCTGGTTGATATCAACATAGTATGGTGAGTCATACACTGGCCATAAGAAGGATGAAGAATGATAAAATGTAAGGTTTACGTCATATCTGCCATACTGAGTTTCGCTGACTTCAAAATTATCTTCTGCAACATACATTGTTTGTGCCCATGTGTTCTGGAGCATTTTGCAGTTGACATGCAAGTGAAGACTTTTATTTCTTGTGATTATAGTACCAGAAGAAGATCCTCTAATAATGTTGGAATATATTATTGTATTGTTGTTTCCCTGTTTGGCATATAAAATAAAATGCAAGATTAATTCATATAGTCAGTTTTCCTATTATGTATTCTAAACTTTGCTGTATCCTTACAGCAATGTGCCCAGTAAATGTATTTTTCCCCAGAAAGTCTGCCACGGAGAAGTCTGAACCTAGTCATTCCTGTTCTCAAGACAATGAATCTGTAATCTATACGTAATATTCAATGCCTACAATGTGTGCCTCAAAAACTACTCACATTAAATGTAGCCATAACTGAATTAGATACAACCTGTACAATGCTTTGAACATTAAATGACTGAAGGTTCAGGTCCAGCACAGTATTTAAGCTGAAATCTGGATTAAAACATAATTGGCTATATTTAATAAAATCTCTGAGACCTTTTTAACCACCATACTCCATGTGGGACCTTGAAAATGTCAAGATTTTGCTTCCTTCCACACTTTATTCCTTAGGAGGTCAATAACGGGCTGTAAGTGAATGCTCTGGCAGAAGATGCAGGAAATAGGAGTGCTAACAAATCTTATCCCTCAGCAGAGGGAGAGACAGCCCATAACCACCAGGACACTTCCAGGCCCTGCTGAGCTCAATATAGCTTTAAATTTGTGCTGGTTTCCAAACTGAAAAATTTGGTTTGAATTTTTAGAGACTCACAATATTTGCACATTTTGTGGAAACATTTTAAATCATACCTCTCTCACTGTGCCGCAGCGAGTGTATGGTATGTTGAATATAACATACTCTGATGTAATGTTGGGTTTGCAATAGGGGTCATTCAAGGTGAGATTCCAGGCAGAGTAGCCTTGTGACCGGAGGTAGTATCTGCTCACAACGACATGCATGTAATCTTGCAAACACAGAAGTGCTAGCAGATGACAAAGAAAATATGTTACAGGCTCAGTGAAGTGACCAAGAAAGGTTATAAGTTGTGACTTAAACAAACCATATCTTTCATAGAAGCAGCTGATATTGCAGAAGGAGTTCAGAATCCAAACCATATACCTGCATCTCTATGAAATGCTACAGATCTAATTTGAAATAACATGAAATGGGTGATTCGTTGAAGTGGTACGAGATTAACAACTAGTGAATTAGCAAATAAATGAGAAACACGTTTCTGCTTTAAACATGAACTTACTAGTACTCTGATTTGCTGGAATGGAATAATAGTCAGCCAGAAACCCTCTGTATGTGTATCGAGAGTTACTGTAAAATCGGACAGTCAGCAGGTTTGAGGAAGATGTGTATGTGCGAAAATAACCAGAACAAAATTTCCCAAGGAGAGGAGAAGTATGAAGTGGCCCATCATAGACTTCCACATAGTCAGACAGACATCTGCCACCTTCCATCCTGGGGAAAAAACATGTCTAGTTAAATGCTTCTTTTTTTTTTTTTTTTTTTTTTTTTTTATTCAGATTAACTGTTCATTGCAAAAGAGTACATTTTATTGATATGACTATCAAATCTTGGAGAAGAAATTACAACCTCTCATTTCTGTCTCATTAGATGCCAGACACATTGTTGACTAAATAAACAAAAATTAATATATTTTTCATCTCAGATGTACTAAAAGTTTTGAAAAAGATCCTTGAAATCAAGCAGCTATCTGCTTAGTAAGTCCAAGTTGTTGAACTCATACATTCACCTTCACAAGTAAAAAAATGTTTACTTACTGAACATCTCTAAATGTGAGTGTGACATGAAAGTTGCTCTTTACTTCTATTTCCCAAACACAGTTGGCATTATTTGGATAATTTCTGGGATAAAATGGACTCTGAAATGTACCAGATGGAGAGGAAAGCAAGCCGCCACAAGGATAATCTTCTGTAGAGAAAAATATGAAAAGAATAACATATATATGCACCATTTAAGGTTGTTTTTGGAATATGTCTATGTAGATTTTTAGGTCCAAAATTTAAAGACAGTGACTTCTACCAGCTTCAGTGGTCTTTCTATAAGGTTCATATATCATCTTAATGCAGACTAAGAGATGATAAACATACTGAATAGCTTTTATAATGCTGATCTTCAGTGTTTGCACTAGCAGGATACAAGTACTTGAACTGCACAGTTATTAAGGTTAGACCTCTGAAGGTCAGCTGTTCCTTGAAGGAGAAAAAGTCACAGCTGAGCCTGGTTCGCCTCTATTACAATTGCTAATGACTTAAGGGAGGGGAAAAAAGATCAGAATTATTTTGTTTCTGAAAAGAATGCTGAGAAATATCCAATTCATAAACATGAAGACCTTACGTCACAGTCAAAAAATTGCATGAAATTTATATATAGATCAATTGCAGCCTAATCAACTAACAGGGGAATGAAGATCTAAGAAGTAAAATAAACTCATCAATTTGTAGGATACTTTTCAGTACAAGCTCAAACTACCCCAAGAAAGGAGAAATGTGTAAATGGACACCATCTTTTGAATTATATGCTAAATTAGAAAAAAATACACATTTACTTCTTTTAACCTAAAGAACAAACAAGAGACCTACTGAGGGCTGAGAGATTTTCAGTTTTTATTTTCACCTTCTAGCAAACATGAAAAAACCCTTCTGTCACTGACCTAACATTTACTATGTGAACAATTAAACTTTCAAAATATGCACTATCCTCAAATGATGTGCTTGAACAAACAGCTGAAATAGAAATTAGTGGAACAACAATACTTAAAAAGTGGTCAAAGACAGTGCTTTCTGAGCACTTGTGACATTACTGCTTGACTGCAAAGAAGTGGCTACACCAGGTGTGAAATCGCCTGCACTGCTATTTTGGGATAATTTGAGGCATTGTACTTTTGGTATTAAATTAAGAGGAGTATGCCCCAAAATTATGAGCAGTTACATTCCTCTCATTGGCTACAACCAGGACTAAGCAAATCCTTTGCCTGCACTCGTACAGAAACAACCCCAATACAAATATGAGCCTTTCCATCTGGGGACCCCGTCTCACATGCTCCATATATGTTCTGCCTGAAGATCAGGAAACACTGTTTTACTGTGAGGGCGATTGAGCACGGGCACAGGTTGCCAACAGAGGTGGTGGATTCTCCATCATTGGAAATGGGCAAGCGCCATGAGGGCAGCTAGCTCTAGGTGACCAGGCTTTAGGCGGGGCACAGGACAAGATGACCCCCAGAGGTCCCCTCCGACCTCAATCATCTTGTGATTCTATGATCTGTAACTGGGGGCAGGAGCTAGTCAGACCTCTCAACTCCTCTGAACCTATCTGAGGTTGGTGGTATGGTGGGTGTCAAGCTGGAGCCACCTGGTGCTGCAGGGAGAGAGCAGCAGGCGAACGACCAACATTTTGCCTAAGTGAAACAACCCTCTGGGAGTCACCTGTCCCCAGAAAGGCTGTGGGACACTGAAACCCAAGACCCACAATCGCTACTTGGATGCATGACAGGTCCCTGTGTGACTACACCTCAAAGTCTTCCCCTTCCATCCCACCAGCCCTGAGCACAGCTCGTGTTCTGCATGTGTAATAGCTCCTATCAGCAGAGCCTCCAATGCCTTTGTTAATCACTGGAATGATGGAATAGAGTGGATCCTCAGCAAGTTTGCTGATGACATCGAACTGGGAAGAGTAGCTGATCCACCAGAGGGTCCTGCTGCCATCCAGAGGGACCTCGACAGGCTGGGGAAATGGGCTAACAGGAAATACAGTTCAACAAGGAAAAGTTCCAAGTCTTCTCTTGGGTAAGAACAATCCCAAGCACCAGTATGTGCTGTGGGCCACCCAGGTGGGAAGCAGCTCTCCAGAAAAGGCCCTGAGGGTCCTGATGGACACCAAGTTCAGCATGACCCAGCAATGATTTAGCAGGGGATGTTGGGCTAGACGACCTCCAGAGGTCCCTTCCAACCTCAACCATCCTGTGATTCTGTGACCCTGAGCAAGAGCAAGAAATAACCAGACCCCACGAACCCTCCTGTGATTCTGTGACCCTGAGCAAGAGTAAGAAATAACCAGACCCCTCAACCCCTCCAGGCCTACCTGAGGTCGATGACATGGTGGGAGTCAAGCTGGAGATACCTGGCACTGCAGGAAAAGAGCAGCAAGTGAGAGAGCAACATTTTACCTAAGATGAGGAGCCCAGTGGGAGGCACCCCTCCCCAAAGGTAACCCTGGGATACATAAACCCAAGATCCACAGTAGGCACTGTAACCTGGTAGGACCGAGCAAGACCAACATCAACCATCTTGTGATTCTGTGATCCAGAGCAGGGGCAGGAGATAACTAGACTTCTCTAGGCCCTACCTGAAGTCAGCGACAAGGGGAAAACTTCATCTGGAGCGACTGGGGGTTCAGGCAGAGAGCAGCACCTGGGCTCATTCCTCAACAACTCAGCTGCAAAACATTCACTGCTCTGCATGTGAATGCGTCAGCCCTCTTTATTTGGGGAAAATGAGTAGTAACTGTGAGCAGGAACATTGGCCTCTTCAGCTGCAGCAATGAGTGTGCCATGAACATGTAACTCCTCTGCCTGTAGTAAAGGCCAGAAAAATCAATAATGGTTCAGCAACAGCACTGACAGAGGTGGAGAAAGTCCCATCCCTTCCCATCAGGTAAAAAAACCAGCATGCTGGTAGCAGTCCTGTTCAAAAAAAATGCCCCTGAGCCAAAACGCCTCAGTGGAACCAGAGGGTCTGGATGCCCACAGGTGTTAGGAGCTGTTAGAAGGCCATTAAGGAAGAGTTTGTGCTTCTGCCCCGGCGAAGAGTAAAGGATGGATCTAGTCTTACCTGTGGTGCTGTGGGAGGCAGGAAATGAGTAGTAGTAGGCCTGGAAACCTCTCTGGGTGACGCTGCCATCACTGCGAAACAAGATGGTCAGCTGGTGTCCGGATGACTTGAAGATGCGATGGTCATTCCTGCAAACGGCCCCGAGGAGTGGGCTCCCAGGGGACCCGCCGTCGTACACCTCAATGGCATCGAACTGGCAGCTGCTGCCTTCCAGCCTGCAGAGAGGGAGGAGGGTCTGTGACACCTCTGAGCATGAGTACCGGGGGGAACTGCAGGGCTTAAGCAACCCGATCCCATTCCCAGCCTGGTCCCGGCACTCAGGCAGAGGTGGCCAAGGCCCCGCAATGGGGACAAAGCCACCCCTGAGCCCACAGCCAGCACTGGGCACCCTGCCCACACCAGAGCTGCCACCCCGCCGGACTCACTCGACATCCAAAAACTGGAGCTCGACTCTGTGATCCAGCTCCTGCAGCCGTATGTGCCACACGCAGCGGGCGCTGTTGGGGTAGGTGTCCGGGTAGCCTGGGCTCTGGACTGAGCTGGATAAACCCTGAAGCAAGCCACCACAGGAGCTGTCCCCTGAGGAAAGGAGCAGAGCCCGGGGACAGGCAGAGAGCTCTTGAAATCGTATCACCAGAAACTGCCAGAGAAGGGCATGGGACCCTGCAAGGGGGGGGCCCCACAGAGACCCTCTTTCTTGGGCACATGGTTCCACCCCAAAGCCTCACCCCTGTCTCCCCCCAACCCAGAGCACAGGTTCACCCAGCACGGGCAGTAACCCCCCTTGGCAGGGCCTGCCTGTACAGTGGGACACCTGGGGCAGGAGATAACCAGACCCCTTAACCCTTCCAGACCTAAACGTGGTCAACGATACAGGGGGAGTCGAGCTGGATCTACCTGGTGCTGCAGGGAGAAATCAGCAGGTGAGCGAGTAGCTTTTGCCATAAGGGGAATAACCTGCTGGAAGTCAACCTTCTCCAAAAACCAGGTTCTTTCCAGTGGTGCCCAGTGATGGGACAAGTGGCCATGGGCATAGACCAAAACACATAAGGTTCCCCCTGAACATCAAGAATCACTTTTTCATGGTGAGGATGACTGACCATGGGCACAGGTTCCCAACAGTGGTGTTGGATTCTTCATCCTTGGAGATGGCCAAGAGCCATCAGGACATGATGTTGGGCAGCCAGCTCTAGGTGACCTGGCTTTAGCCAGGACACAGGACCAGCTGACATCCAGAGATCCCTTACAACCTCAGCCATCCTGTGATTCTGTGATCCACAACTGGGATCAGGATCTAGTCAGACCCATCAACTGCTCCGGACGTACCTGTGGTCGATGACACAGGGGAAGTGGAGCTGGAGCCACCTGGTGCTGCAGGGAGAGAGCAGCAGGTGAGCGAGCAGTGTTTTGCCTATGAGGAACATGCTGCTGGGAGTCACCCCCCTCCAAAAGGAAGCCCAGAACAATGAAACTCAAACCCCACAGTCGGCACTGTAATGTGGCAGGACCGAGCACGACGGCTGCAGTACCAACCAACACAGCACTTCTCAAGGACATCACCACTGCAGCGTCATGAACATGAGTGCCAAACAAACCTCTCCCCCAGAATGGAAGTCTCCATGGATTCCAAGCAATCCCACATCTCCCTGAGCAACACAGACCTTACAAGGGGTCTGTAAGGGCAGCCTGTTTGGGTCTTGTGCTCTGATGGAGACAGAGCACCCAAGAGGCAGACGACCCCAAGGAGAAAAAGGATGTAAACAGAAATATCTGGTTACCTGTTGGTGGAGGCACTGTTAGTCCTGAGTCTGGAATAGGAGAGAACCAGAGGGTGTGAGGCACTTGCACCCCTTGGCTCCCCTCAGAGCACATCCTAGAAGCTCACGGAGAGCTACGGAGGGAGCCGTGGAGAGGGTGGTTTGTCTCAAAACCAACCCCCCCCTCACACCCTGCTCTGCAGGGGAGCCATCGCCCAAATCCCAGACCTCCTGAACACAGTCTGCAAGAGCAGCCACAATGTTCACTCTGAAACACAGCACCCTGTGTCATGGACACGCACCCACGACCCGCCGCTGCCCTGCAGAGCACCGAGCAAGGGCTGGCCAGACTTCTCCCAGCCTCACACAAACTCCAGTTGGGTTTTCTTCAGGAAAATGCCACCAAAACACAGAAACCCACCTGAGCATATGACAGAAGCGTCCCCGTGATAACAGGCAGAGTAATCTTCCTTGTAAGGGCAATACCACAGATAGTCTTCAGAGCCCACACAGTTCACCTCCGTCATCATGTACGGGTACGCGTCGCTCGAAGGGAAATAGTGCATCACACCAAGCGGCGAGCCGCAGCCAAGCTGCCGGCACGCAACCTGGGCGTCCCGCATGTCCCACCTGTACCCACACACTTTAGCCCAGGCTCCAAAGTAGAAGACTTCCACGTTGCCTGCACATCCGTTCGGTCCACCGGTCAGCCGCAGCAGCAGGTCTTTGAGAGACACAAACCCTCGTGGTCAGGCCAGCAGTGCTCTGGGTTCAGGCAATGCCATTTGACGGGAGAGAGCTGGCTCCCCTGTCCTCCCCACGCACGACTGCTCCTGGCACCCAGCAGCATCCACCCGCAGCACAGCTCAGGGCCATCAGCCCCTTCTCGGGCTCCCATGTTGGGTGATGGAGAGGCTGGGGCAGCAGCGGGCACACGCGTCCCCGCTCCCGGGGCCACAGCATGGGCCCTGGCAGACAGACTCACCATCAGCTATGACTTCAACTGCAGAGAACAAGCAGAGAAAAATACACAGAAAGCAAATGGATTATCACAAATCCTTTGGGGGCCACCAGTGTGCTTTGCCCATTCCCCAGTGACCCAAGACCCATCCCCAGTGAAGGGCACAAGCGGCGGAAGAGCTCTTTCCTCCTAGGAAGGATGTAGGCTGCCTGGGGGCTGAGCAATCCCTGAAATCCTGGCTCCCAGATAACTTGTTCTTACACACACCCCTTTCCCCTGTGTAAAGAAACACAGGAACCTTTTCATCTGTGAGCTCCACCTTACATATCGCAGCAATATCAGAGGATTTGTTACATTTTATGCACTCCACTACTCAACACGGGCAGCCAGCGGTATTTTAATGCTACGAAGACTTCTCCATTAACTTACAGGATTAGCCGTTATCAAGCACATGGTTTAGGCCCTGAATAACATCATACAAATTCTTCTCAGCAGGATCATAAGAGGGACTTCCCAACAGCACAAGGGTGGTAAACTTAGAAAGCCATATTTCATGCTTGGATTAGGCCTGGCATGTAAGGGTGGGAAAGACAGTACTAAATCCAACTTACAAGTCGTGGTCTTTGTTGTTGTCGGGCTCGCTGTAGTTGTTGCAGCTAGAGGAGAATAAATACCCACCATGAAGTCCCATTTTATGAAAAGGAAGACAGTCCTGAAGCACATCTAAAGAGATTCCCACATTCAACCTCTGGCAAGAATAGCCTTTACCCAGCACAAATGTGTACAGGAGGCCAAGAAAGCTACACCTATTTCAAAGGTGAGGCCAAAAAGGCAGACAAGGAAAGCAGAGAAGAGAAACAATCTAAACAGAATGGCTAAACCCAGCACATTGCGTTAGCTGATGGCCATAAAGCACTGGGGGTACAGATCCCCAAAACACCACGTGGACAAATTCCAGGGACAGTGTGTCTTGAGCACCTCCCAGTGCCACTTATCGGCAACCAAGCAATCCTGCATCTCCCTGAGCATCCAACCCCCTCCTTGCACCCTGCTCTGCACGTGAGCCATCGCCCCAAGAGCAGCCCCGACGTTCCCTCTGAAACACAGTATCCTGTGTCAGGGACACGCACCCACGACCCGCTGTTGCCCTGCAGATGTGTGAGGGAGCACAGAAAGGGAAAGCAGGTTTTTGCTTTCGGTTCATTGGGCCAAGTCAAGTTCATTTCAGAACTTTACATCTGAAAGAGGAAGGGATGGAAAGACAGCAGCTATGGCAAACACTTCTGATCTTTTTCCATTCCACCTTTCTGCACAAAGAATGCAACAACAGCTGCTTGAAAAGAAATGTTTTGTTTCTCACAGCACCATGCTGGAACTCCGCTCAGCAAGGGAAACCTCACCTGAAAGAGGGGAAAGGGTTTTTTGAACACAGGAAGACCATTTAACCCTGTTTGAAACATCCTCCCCCCCATCAGACCCATTTATCCCCAAAGGGATGAAAGTAGCTGGGCAGATCACTGCCTCTGCAACCAGAACAAATTAGAATAACATAAAATTACAGTAATTCTTATTATGTTCTAATAATTACAATAATAATAGAAACAGGGACATGTACCATACTTGTTTTAGCTAGGACACTCTGTTATTAAACACCAGTGTGTTAGTTGTAACAATATACTTAACCAAAACCAAAACACATGGTTCAAAGCGCGCCTCAAACTCTTTAAAATAAACACACATTTAATTCAGAGGATACATACTAGTCTTTAAATTCATTACTCCAATACAAAGATTCAGAAAATGATATCAGTGACTTTATGGTATATTCATTTGAATTTCCTTTTCTACTCTCTTTACAAAAATGGTAAGACCAATTTAAATTCATTAAGCAGTTTCATTAAAAGCTTTTGAATTAATGAGTATAACAATTTATTTGCTCAGCTTATAGGTTTGACCTGCTCATGTTTTTTGAAAGAGCTAAGCCATGCTACTACACTTTTTTTTACCCTTAAATCTCAACATTAACCTGATGTGAAATATAGCCATGAAGGTAATCAGAAGTGAGACTCTTTACCTGCATCTACCCAAATCTGAAGACTAATCATAACCATCCAAGACAAGATCATGGTCGCAACCAGCATCTTGGAGCTCCTGGTACGGGAGAACACAAGAATTTATAGGCAGAGACCCTAAAGGGTGTAGCTCAGCAGCCCAATCTGACCTGTCACTAGGTCAATATCAAACACATTTCCTGACTGTTACTTCCGTAACTTCCATGACTATATATTTGATTTGTTACTCAACTTTTTATAGTTTCCTGGTTCTACAAGAAGACAATACCTGCTGTGTTCCTCAGGGAAGGTAGAGAACAAAAGTGGTTACAGTAGCTGTTTTTCCATCCCATCCCTCTTCCAGCTGTGAAGTTCTGTTGCCGTCACTAATGTAACATACCCCTTTCTTGGATTTGAGTTGTCTCTGAGCCAAAGCTGTTTTTTAAGTCTGTGTAGCAGAGCCTTCCTTTTTGTGACTGCAGATGTGGAAGGGTAAGAGCACGGTGGGAAACAATCAAGGGGCTTATAGAGACCCTTCTGACTGGCCTGGGCTCCCCTGGGGAGACACACCCACCAGCCACTGGGAAGGCATCACTCAGAGGCAACCATCATGTCTTCAGTCCCTTAAAGATGTTGTGAAGGTACAGTTTCAAGGACCAAGTCAAATATCACACATAACTTACCATCATGTATTAGTTACACATTAGGTAACTTTCTGGAGGTAGAATAGTTTGGAACTATAATGCTGAATTACCTTGAATTCCCCTAGCCTGCTTTTATGAGTATTTCTGTCCTAATAGACATCACAAAAACATGTAGTAGAAAGTGAGTACATTCATCTTTTTCTGTTTTCCCCTTGTTCACCCTTCAACATGCTATATTTTCACCAGGGTAGCAAGACTCAGCCAATATGTTTAAGCTCTACCAGTCATCGACTGCAAATCTGAAACCACCAAATTAATCTTTTGATTTTTGTCACAAACTCAAGCCAAAATTCAGTGTTCGCACACTGATCACTGTTAAACTGCACAAATTTTCCCAGAGAACAAGGAGCGTAAGTCCAGGGATACGGGCAAGTGTAGAAAACAAGGGAAAATTCATCCCAAATTCTCTATTTCTGAAGCTCCAACATTTTCTTCACACTCAAGTGAGGTACACAAGCTCATCACAACATTTGAAAGCAACAAGACCTGTTTACAGAAGGTATGTGTGAGATCACAGAAATCAAATGCTTTTACTTTGCAATGAGGGGGCATCTTGCAGACCAGGAACTGTTTGATCCCTGTTTATTTTCTAGTAACAAACACGCTAATATATTATCCAGCATGTCAGAGAATGAGATACTCCTTATGTGAACATTCACTCTTCACTTCTTAAATCAACACACTCAGACTGTTAGCTGGTAAAGATAGATAAAGGCTCAATGGCAAAGGAAAAATAAATGAAAAAAAAAATTTCATAGAATATCCGTGTTGCTATGAAGTCTTAATACCTAAGGTATTAAGGTATTAAGCATTTGACCCCTTCTCACCTTGGGAATTTCCTTGCTGAACAGACTAATTTCTAAGCTATTATAAGATGGGAATGACCCACGTACAGAGGAAAATGCCTTCTACTTTTCCGTCTGTAGGTAGCCTCATCCAGTCATAGCACACACAGCACTAGCTGAGATCAACCACCATTTCAGACCTTTTAGGTACTAAATGTTGGAGTCCCAAATTTAAGTGCCTCCAAAGTTGGTGGCAACTGATGCCAGAATGAGATGGGGAAACGCAGTTCAGCTTCCATCCATCCAATATTTCCCTTGAATCTTCTCTCAAGCTTGTTGAACAAACTTGATCTAATATCCGACAAAACAGCAGAAGTTGAAAAAGGCAAGCAGTGGTTCTCAGAAGGAGGATGGATCTGAAACAAACTTACTGTTCGCTGAGCAGAGAACAGAAAATAGTAGAATGGTCCATCAAACCACAGTCCCATAAAATTTCACTGAAAAGTAAAAATGTTACCATAAACTTGAGGATAACCAGAAGCATTTTACAGATATCATAACTTGGAAATTTATGTTTTCTTGCAACCAGGAACTCCAAAACCAAAGTTGATGCTAGAGTTCACAACCTGTCATGAATTGCTTCACACCCACAAATGACAAAACGCTTTGTTTTGACATTAAATAAAGTTTAACACCGCTTTTACACAAATATTGACAATGTTCCCACATTGTTTATGCACTAGGAGATAAACTAACAATGCTATATATTATCAGTGCATACTTTTGCCGATACATTTTGGCCAAATTCCTAAACAATCCATCCCACCTAGTTTTGAATTTAGGGCAACAGTTTAATGAATTGGGCTGGGATGTGCTGGTCACTGTTAGCTCTGAGCTTAGCAGTTATGTCTCCTTTTCCCCATATGACTTGTAATTGCATCAAATACTTCTGCCATCCTGACAAAATAAATAAGCCCACAGCCAGACAAAAAGTCAAAGCCAAGGACATTTCTATTAAAAAGGAGAGAGACTGTACCCAGAAAGACGTATTTTTAAAAAAAGGAAACCACAGAAATATGCTTCATGAGGGGAACAACTGTTCGACCAGCACAAACACATGAC